CAAGAAGTTACTATTCTGTGGAAAAGGAGTGACTTAATTTATGTATTTGAGAGACAGTCTAGACAAAGCGAGGTTCATTTCCTGGTTCCTCCTTTCAGGATCTGCTTTCCTAGATAGGATGCTTTCTGTTCTGCTTTCCCGTACATGCTGCAAGGAAGGTCTACAGTTGTCGAGAACTGCCCAGGCTATTTGCAGAAGTCTGTCTAATTTCAGGGTGGAGTGTTACCAAGCCATTTAGGATGCATATCTAAAGCTAACTTCTTTAGCTGACTAATTAGTAAGAGAAAGTTGTTATGTCTCCTGTGTCTTATATATCAACTCAGTTCTTGTTTTCTAAGGCACATGTATTTGTTTTCTTGGGAGAAAATCAAAGTTGGATCTGTTGTCTGTTATAAAATTTCTAAAAGGTTAGCTTACAAAAGCATTTCCAGCATGTCGAAAATTGGGCAAGTTATGGCTAAAACCCGAAGAGGACGGGAATTAAGAGTCATACAGATAGCATAAAATTCTAAAAATACATATTCTTTAGTTCCTAAACCTATGGTGCCATTCTTTTTAATCCATTATTAACAGTTTCTTCCACCAGAGTAAGTTAGTGTTTAGAGCCATTTAAATGTCAGAAAATCCGCTCAAAGCTTCATGAACCTGATTACAGTTGAGCACATTACTTTAAAATGGTTTATTAACTGTTCCTAAGATATACGATTTATATTAATGCATATAGTCAGATTTGTTCATTCAACAACTCTTTATTTATCATGGGGTAAACCTGTGGTTATAAAGAAAAATATAGTTTTATTTTTGTATTTGTCTTCCTGCTCACAAATATTAAATCACTTTTTATACTCTAGTATAATAAACGTTCCTGCATATTCAAAGCTCCCCAGTAAAGTCAGAAGTACTCACAGGAGATGACATGGATACTGTGTGCTAATAGTAGGGTAGTCTTAGCCAACTGAAACAAGTGATGACAGACATTAAAATGCCATTTTTTTTCTATTTACCTAGACAATGTACAAACTAAGTCTCCTAGGCAGAAGGTAATAGATATTTTTATCCAAGACAGATTTTATACTTCCCCTCCTACATGTCCCTCACCACAATTCTTTTCCTCAGCCATGGCCATGGCCAGATTTTTCTCTGAACCTGTACAGACTGGCATGTTCAAGAAGCAGTCCAGCTAACTACCCTGATTAAATCACCACAGAGGTTTGGCCTCCTAGACCCTTTCTCAACAGAGGTTTTCAGAAATACATACTGTCCTTTAAACAAGCTTAATCTTCTCTGGCCCTCAGAAGAGTAGAGAGAATATTACGTCAGAAACCCTCAGAGATCTCAAATAGAAACCAGATCAGGTTTTCTTTTTACTCTGAGCTAAGAACAATTATTTCTCAGTGTGTTAAATAAACCACAGGGTGAAGTAAAATTGGTGTCAGATACAGAAAATGGTCATTTTGATTAAGTATCAAATGCAAGAGAAAAGACAAAATTTTACATCTAGCATTTCTGGAAAGAGTCTCTTAAGTATAATGTATTGAATGCAATGAAAGGAATTAAAATACTACATGCATAAGAATGTCTGTAGTCCTAACATATACTGTGGGTTAAGCATTGCTATGAATAACTGCCAACAGCCAGATATTTATCAGTATCCCTTGTGCCAGATTTCAGCAATAAATGTAGTTTAAATAAAAAAATTTCCCTCTGCAAATCCAAAGATTTAAGTAAGTTCCAAGACGGAAGAGATTTTCATCTTTTGTTAATTATTAAAAATGCCCAGTACCTGGCACAAAGGTACATTAAATAGTTGAATAACTATCTGATTAAAAATAAATAAATGAATAAAACTTCAGAAATGGAGATGAGGAATGATAAATAAGAGTTATAAAAAGCTTCCTGTATGCTCGGGATTACTCTAGCAATCGTATTAAAACCCTTCTCAATCCTTAAAACAATGTGATATGATATTCAAAATCAAGTCTGTCCACACTCATGCTAAGTACAACTGTAACTTTTAATACTCCATGATCTCATGCAGTATTCCATGTTATCAAAGCACACATATACATTTTGTCACAAGGTGACCTTTTCCACATAACACAACCATAAAATCTACAACATAAGTATACAAAATATGCTCTCAACAATCTAGTGTTATCAGCATAAATAAAAAACAAATGAAAATAATCTCTGTGGCATTTTCTTTGTCTTTTATGGGTAAGACTGACAACCACCAAAACCAAAAATTAATTTATAGTCAAATTAATCCAGGCTAGTTCTTATTCAACTTATATAACAAATCAAGTGGTTTTCATAAGAGAATCTATCAAGTAAGTATTTCTATTATTTTATGTTAGTTTATATTTGAGTTAACATTCATGTCTTCCTCTGCAAAATACTTAAAATACTAAGCCATTTTACTTTTTACCAATGAAGTCTCAACAAGAAGAAAATGTGCAAAATACTTAAAAGTATGAAATTATGAAAAAAATTTAAATTTATAGAGAAATATCATACCTACCAAAGGATTTATAAAGAATAATAAAATGAATACCCCCTGCATCTACCACACAAGTTAAGAACAGTATCAGTAGGGTGATCATTTAATTTGCAACCTAACGGAACACCCTGAAAAAGAAAGGTAATGCTATTAAAATGTACATCAGTACCATAATCATGAACTGGAACTACGTTGGGCAAACCAGAATCTGTTGTTACCTTACTTAGCTGTAGCTTGAGAAGTTCCTTGATTATCCCTTGAAGTTCATATCCCTTCTTTTTCTTCACAAGAGGTAACCATGAAACTAAATGTTATTTTATCCATTTTATTGTTAATCAGTATTTTTTGTTTGTTTCTTTGCTGTAAAGAACATTCTTAAAGATGTCTCCTAAATAGATGTCTCCTGGCCCAGAAGTTAAAGAGTTTCCCTACGGTCCTTAACTAGAAATGAATCTTCTAAGTTATAAGGTAAATGTTTGTTCAACTTTATTAATATAATAGCAGGTGAGCTAACCAGTCACCCATATTTTCCTATAGTTTAATTTTTTTCCTTTTATTTATATAACTTACCTCTATAATCTGTTTTGACTTTGTTTTGATTTATTATATGTTATGACAATCTAATTTTTTTCCCCTCAAATAGCTAATTTTCACAATTCTATATAGTGAATATCAATCCTTTCCCAGTTGGTTTGGCATGCTTCTCCCCAAATCAAGTCCTTACACAGCAAAAATCTATGTCAGCCTTACTTACTGTGTTCTTTCAGGCTGAGAGTGTTGACATTATCTTCTATGATGACATGATCCATCAACCCAGCACAAGAGAACACACCTATTTGGTGACCAGAAAGCTTTAGCTCTTGGATTTATTCTTTGAATCTCTCCTGGTCACAGGTTGCTACAGATAAGCATCTTTTTAATTTGTCACATCATTTTCTTTTAAAGTATTAAATGCTTAAAGGAACTTGTGAAGCACAACTTATCCTGGGGTTCCATGAGAGACAGTTAGAAAATCACACTTTCTCCAGAGAAATACAATATACATCTCCTTATTTGAACTCCTGCTATAGGGATATTTGCTATAATGACTTGCATAAGCCTGTTTTTTAACCTAAAATTTGCAATTGGCTTGAAATCTACTCTACTGAATGTGCACACCTGCATAGTGAAAACTATTCTGCAGGGGTCCATAGGATCAAGAGTGATATAACCACACCTAAACTGTTCTCTGCTGGTTCAAATACTTTACATGCACTGTTCATTATCTCTATTTTCTTTCCATCTTTTTCTTGAGAATTTAACCCTTTAGAGGTCTCCGAGTTTGCTTTTACCATAGACCTGGAAGCACAGCAACCTCGGTCAGTTTAGATAGTATCTTTAATATATTATTTTGTGATTTCTGCTACAGTATGAGCATCCTGCAGTACAGGAGATCATAATACAGATCTGATACTGAATAGTACCTCTGAGTCTTTCACACAACTAATGGATTCATAAAATGTTAAATAATTAGATAATATTTTTAATGCTTTATGTTACACAGAAGTCCTTGGTGGATAGTCAAGTGAGTGCTAGTGAGACCTGGGAAAACTGGTTGGAATTTGCACAGGCTATAAACATATTATTATTTTCTTATTTAAAACTACAGAATTCACAGACTAGATGCAACATGAAATTTGCTGTTCCGTAAGCTTTTAATAATGAATTTGACTAGTCAGAGTCCTAAAATTGTCATTTGATAAAGTGATTTGATAAATCACATTCCAGCCTTGTCTCTGATGATATCCAGATAATCTTCGAAGTTCTGGGTTTTCCCAAACTCCTATTTATAATCTCTGGCTTACTAATGGAATGCTAAATTTCACCTAGTCTTCATGGCTTTCCTTATTCTTGAAAAGCCTATGACTACTTCTTCCTAGTCCTGACAACCATACATGGTAAATGCTATTAACAGGGACTGCTGTTAACATAATAACCAAAGATACAAGCAAAATTATTTTATTTTAAATACTGGGAAAATATTTGTAGTTCACAAACTTGAGGCAAATGAAGTGTTACATAACCTCCAGATCTCGAGACTAGTAAGTACTTACACATTCCTACAGAAACACATCATACTGTGGCACACATTAAGAGGCCTTTTGAAAGGGTCATTTAAGTTAATACAAATAACTCTCCCACCAAAAGCAAACTAACAAAATGTCTGACCATTTTATCTGTTATACCAAAGTAAAAATTCTCCAAGTGGATGGGGAAAATCAATATGACTAGATCCTGTACTCTACCATCTTACCCTTTTCTTCTGAAAATAGCCTATGTGAATATATGATGGAAAGACAATATAAAAATGAACATCTAACACTGTACCTGACACACAGTATATACTCAATATATTTTCGACTATTGAGTGAATTAACTACTTGGCATGTTAAGACTTTTAAGTAACAGAAAGTTTAGAGAAAAAAATTAACTCAAGAAAAATCAAACAAAACCTTCTTACCCACAGTCTGGAGCTGGACACCACCTACAATCAGGATCTGCAACGAGCCACCGTCTAAGCATAAATTCTTCATATTTTTCCATCAAGACATCATCACTTAATATCAAGCGGATATCGTGGGGATTAAACCGTTCAGTACATTCTGGGCAACTGATATTAACTCTACTTTCAGAAATTTCTATCCTCAGATATTGTCGTAAGCAATCCACACAAGATCTATGATGACAAGTCATTATTTCAGGAAATCTGTCTTTAGAATGCCGCAAAAGGCACAAGGGGCACTCTATAAAGTCTCCAACTTGTTTGCTGATGGAAGTTAGCCCATTGTCAGAGGAGGTATTTGTAGAGAAAATGGAGTTCTTATCAGTACACATTTCAGAATGTATACTCTCAATACTTGCAATTCCATCCACCCCGCCATTCAGCTCCCTTGATTTACGTTTGTTATCCTTTTTCCTCCGAAACAGAGAGCCTATTGAAATTCTTCTTTTTTTGGGAGCCTTTTTGACTGAAGGCAAGCTCACAGACGAAGCAGAAGACTGAAGATCTCGATCTGAACCCATCTGCCGATGTAAACTCATGTCTAAAATGCTCATTAGAATTGAGTCAGGGTCTGTGTTTACACACAGCCCTTCATTATATTTAAAGATAAAATCTATTTCTTGTTCTTGCATTCAGATTAAGTCATGATGTTAGAAAATCCTACTTGGTTCCTTCAGAGAATTCTTGAAAGAGTCCAATCTATAGAAGACTTATCACAGATGTTCTGAAAAACAGAAGAAAACAAAACACCAAGATTATTTAATTGTATTCACCATGTGCATGTCTTTTTAATAAACTTGCAAACTCTCTATGAAACATCAATCAAGTATGTACTTTAATCAGTGGTTTTTGGTTTTGATTTCTTAAAATAAGGCCAGTTTATGGTAGAGCGAGTGGTAAAGAACCTGCCTGCCAATGCAGGAGACGTAATGATATGCGAGTTCAATCCCTGGGTCGAGAAGATCCCCTGGAGGAGGGCATGGCAACCCACGCCAGTATTTTTGCCTAGAGAATCCCATGGACTGAGCCAGGTAGGCTACAGTCTATAGGGTCGCAAAGAGTCAGACTTAGCACATAGCACGTTAGCAGTGAACAGTCTACAAGAGATTTAAAACCAATGCTGATATAACAAAGGTATTATTTAATCTTAAGAATCTAGATTTGGGCCAAAGATCTAAACAGACATTTCTCCAAGAAGACATACAGATGGCTAACAAACACATGAAAAGATGCTCAACATCACTCATTATCAGAGAAATGCAAATCAAAATCTCAATGAGGTACCATAACACACCAGTCAGAACAGCTGCTATCCAAAAGTCTACAAACAATAAATGCTGGAGAGGGTGTGGATAAAAGGGAACCCTCTTACACTGTTGGTGGGAATGCAAACTAATACAGCCACTATGGAGAACAGAGTGGAGATTCCTTAAAAAACTGGAAACAGAACTGCCTTATGACCCAGTGATCCCACTCCTGGGCATACACACCGAGGAAACCAGATCTGAAAGAGACACGTGTACCCCAATGTTCATCGCAGCACTGTTTGTAATAGCCAGGACATGGAAGCAACCTAGATGCCCATCAGCAGACAAATGGATAAGGAAGCTGTTGTATATATACACTATATGTACACTATATAGTACATATAGTATATGTACTATACTATGTATAAGTATATATACTATATATGTATAGTATATATAGTATATATGTACTTATATATATATATATATAAGTACTTATATATATATACTATGTATAGTACTATGTACTATATATGTATAGTACACTATATAGTACATATAGTATATGTACTATACTATGTATATGTACATATACACTATATGTACTATTCCATACACTATGGAATATTACTCATCCATTAAAAAGAATTCATTTGAATCAGTTCTAATGAGATGGATGAAACTGGAGCCCATTATACAGAGTGAAGTAAGCCAGAAAGATAAAGACCAATACAGTATACTAACGCATATATATGGAATTTAAAAACATGGTAAAGATAACCCTAAATGCAAAACAGAAAAAGAGACACAGATGTAAAGAACAGACTTTTGGACTCTGTGGGAGAAGGCGAGGGTGGGATGTTCAGAGAGAACAGCATTGAAACAAGTATACTATCAAGGGTGAAACAGATCACCAGCCCAGGTTGGATGCATGAGACAAGTGCTCAGGGCTGGTGCACTGGGAAGACCCAGAAGGATGGGATGGGGAGGGAGGCGGGAGGGGGGATCGGAATGGGGAACATATGTAAATCCATGGCTGATTCATGTCAATGTATGGCAAAGACCACTACAATATTGTAAAGTAATTAGCCTCCAACTAATAAAAATAAATGGAAAAAAAACACATTCTTTTGAATTTTAAAGTATATAAATATTTCATAAAAAAAAATCTAGATTTGAGTTGACCTTATTATTAAGATCTTGTATAAAACTTCTGATTTTTATCATACTCAAACCTCAATGATTCCCACTGCCTTTAGGAGTTTTTAAAAAACTGACTATAAAATATACATGCAAATACGAAGGGCTAAGAAGAGCTTATACAACTTTGAAGAATAATGTGTATGTGGAGAGGGAACAGATTCTCTTACACTGGCAGAAATAATCACTCATTATAAAGTTACAGTAATTAGGAAGACAGTGTGGTACAACACAAAGATGGATATAAAGACCAATGGGGAACAAAACACAGTCCAGGAAAAAAGTCCCACTTACACACATGAATACCTGACTTACCGTCAAAGGTGACCCTGCTGAGCATTAAGAATGGCCTTGTCAAAAACAAAACAAAAACAACATAGTACTGTTTTACTGGTTACCATCTGAGGAAAGGAACTTAACCTATAGGTAACCCTCTGCATAAAAATCAATTCCAGATGGTTAATAGATCTAAATGTGAGAAGTAAAATCATAACACTTCTAGCAGTCAGTAGAAGAGAATATTTCAATAAAAGATTTCTTAAATGAAACATACTAAAGTACCTGCCATAAAAGACTGTTAATTGGACTACAATAAAATCACAAGATAGTTTAAGGGAGTGGGAGAAGACATTTGCCACATAAAACTAATAAAGGACCAGTAACTGGAATATAGAAAGAATACTTAGAAATCAAGACAAAGCAGAAAAATAGCACAAAAGAATATGAAAAAGTGCTCAAATCATTTGTTGTACAAATCAAAGCCATACTGAAAGACACAACATACTTGGCAGGATGGCTAAAATTCCAATAGACATTCCAAATGTTAGCAAAGGTGTGGACTGCTGATAGGAGTGTAAAATGGCATAACTACTTTGGAGAACTATTCAACAGTATCTACCAAATTTGGACATATGGATGCTCTATTAGTACAATATGTAATAGTATCTATTACATACTGATACTCTTAGATATGAATGCACAAGATAAATGAATGCATACATGTATCAAAACATTCATATAGCAATATTTATGGCAACACTAGTTATAACAAGCCCAAACACTGGACACAACCCATATCTCTATCAACAGTAGAATGAAGAAATAAACTGTGATATATTCATTCCACTCCAGTATACCAGAAAGCAATGAAAATGAACAACATACTGCCACTCATAAAAACATGAATCTCTCATAAAAGGGTGTGTGTGTGCTGTGCTTGGTTGCTGAGTGCTGCCGACCCTTTGTGACCCCCTGGGCTGTAGCCTGCCAGGCTCCTCTGTCCACGGGGCTTCTCCAGGCAAAAATACTGGAGAAGGTTGCCATGTCCTCCTCCAGGGGATCTTCCCAACCAGGAATCAAACCGGGGTCTCCTGCATTGCAGGCAGATTATTTACCAGCTGAGCTACCAGGGAAGGCTGTGTGCTGTATAATTCCATTTAAATAAAGTTTAACAACAGGTAGAGTTACTCTCTAATATATGTCAGAAGTCAGAACGTAGCTACCTTTTGAGAAATGGCACATGTACAGTGGTTACAAAGGTATATTCACTTTGTGATAAATCACTGACCTACAGACTCACGGTTAATGTGTTTTTCTGGGTGATCTTTATATCAGAATTAAAGGTAAAAAAAAAAAAAAGCTCCCTGAGGTGACAGTCACACATATTCTTAAGAAAGTCACATTTACTTTTCTAACACAAATCTAGAAAACCATTTCACCCAGGCAAACTTAACTCATGTCCAACAGTTTATACCTTCCCATCATCTGCTGCATATTCCCTTACTTCTGAGGGAAATACAGTGTAATGGTAGACTCAACTAAAATTTTCTGCATATTTTCTTCTTTACAGTTATTATTTTCTCTTGCATCTTAAAATGCTGCCTGTACTCCAGGGTTCAATATATGGATCAAAGAATAGACTATCTTGGGGATCCTAAGAATTTATCACTTAAAACATTAAACCAGTGGTATTTAATGTATATCACCTGGAGAATTTTTCAAACATACTTTTAGAAATTTGATAACCACATAATTTATTATCCACGTAAGAACCTAGTAAGAGTGAATGAAGGTGCTATTAATATTTAAAAGAGGATGTGTGTGTGTTAGTCACTCAGTTGTGTCCTACTCTTTGGGACCTCACAGACTGTAGCTCGCCAGGCTCCTCTGTCCATGGAATTCTCCAGACAAGAATACTGGAGTGGGTTGCCATTCCCTTCTCCAGGGGATCTTCCTGATCAAACCCAGGTCTCCTGCATTGTGGGCAGATTCTTTACCATCTGAGCCACCAGGGAAGCCCTTAAAATAGAATAATGGGAACAAACTAGAACATATGGTGATCCCACTTAGGAAGCCTTTCCAAAACATTGTGCAAATAAACAAATATGCCTTAAAGGAAAATAAACAAACTTGAATACTAAAAAATTTAATATTTTTATATGGTAAAAGCACAATAAAATAGAAAGACATGATAAATCAGTAAAATATTAACAATGAACAACTTTCCTTAGTATACAAACGGCTTTTACATATTAGTAAGAAAAAGATGTACAACTCAGTGGTAAAATGAGAGTGGGAGAAGAGTTTGGAGAAAAAGAAATACAAAAATTAGGAAGACTGGAAACAGTGTTCAACACACTAGAAATGAAAATTCAAACAGAAGATACCATCTCTGTACACACTAGGCTAATAAAGGTTGAAAGGGTGGGTGAGTGTGTACTGAAAGAAGCACCTCACATACTGTCGAGAGGAGAGCAGTCAGCACAACTCTGGGGAACCAATTTAGCATTACCAACTAAACTTGAAATGGAACTGTACTTTGACCAGCAATTCTACATGTAAAATCTATCCTTCAGAAATTATAAGGACACAAGTGTGCAAAGAAAGTGTGCAAGGAAACTCACTGCATCCTAGTTGACAGAAGGAAACAAAACGAGGCAAACAAGCCCCAAACAAAACTTGGATATAAGTGTCCAACGGGGAACTGGTAAAAAGAAAAGAATCAACCACAATTTACAGGTAATGATAAGGACTAGATCTCTCTATATAACACTAAATGAGCAACAATAACTGCA